AGTTGATTTATTCAGTTGCTCTCAAAGGGTATCCAACCTTCCCTGTTTGTCTAAGATCAAGGCATTTCCTGGGACATGGGTCTTCCAGTGCTAAAACTATGACAGTTACCAGAACGCCAGGACAGTTTTGGTCACACAGTCTCTACATATGTGCTTCTTTCTTACTTTTTCCCCACTACTAGCTGGTATTCTCTCCACTTCTTCACAGCTTTATAATTTTGGCATACTCCTTTTCCATCTTTTTTTTTTTTTTTGAGTTTAGCACCTTAGAGGCTCAGATTCTGTCTTTCTCTGAATATTTCTTAGTTTGTTATCTCTGATAATGAATCTTTATTGACCTGGTTTGCCTTTTTTTGCATTAGGTCTAGGTTACTGGCCATCCTATAGATTGTTAGTGATAGTGATAAAAGGAAGCTAATGCAATCCATGCCTTACATTGGGGTTTCTGGGCTGTAATAAAGGACTTGTTTGAGTTTAAGTTTTAACTGTATAATATTTTGTGACCATTGTAAAGTCTAACCCATTTAAAAATAAGCATGATATAATTTGCAAATAAACTACATTGTATTTAAATAGAGTTCAACTTTGGGAAGATTTTTATGGCATTATACACAATTTAAGTTGGTGTTACTTTCCATGGCAGTGAAGTAGCTGAAATTCTATAAATGTTAAATCTTATCTGTTCTGTTTTCCCATGACCTAATAGTATTGTTTCATTTATGTAGTTATGTGTAAATATTTCCTTTCTAATCCCTAATTGGCCAAAAAATTACATGAACAAACTAAAAAGAACTGAAGAAAATGTGAGTGAAGAAACATGTCATAGTAGATATCTATAGTTGTCAAATTTTATCCTTACACTTTTTTCTTTTCTTTTTTTTTTTTCTTTTTTTTTTTTTTTTGTGGTACTGGGGCTTCAACTCAGGGGTTACACCTTGAGCCACTCCACCAGCCCTTTTTGTGATGGATATTTTCGAGATAGGGTCTCTTGAACTATTTGCCTAGGCTGGCTTTGAATCACGATCCCCCTGATTTCTGCCTCCTGAGTAGCTAGGATTATAGGCATGAGCCATCGGCTCCCAGCTCCTTAAACTTTCTTAATGTTTTAAATTTTAATACATGATCATACTTGCTTTAGATTTTAAGATTTAAATCTCAAAGTTTGTTTATATATTACAATTTTTGTTACATCAGATAAATGTCCCTTTGCTAATTGTTAAAGTTCTGTTTATGGGTGTGAAATAGACCTTCATGCTATTGTATGGAGAAGACATTGTATCAAGACCCATATTACTTAATGTGCCACTACACACCCCTGTTCCAGTCATCTAAGGCTGGGGACAAGGCTGCCAGAGTTGATCCTTTATTAGGCATTGTGGGGCTGGCAGTTTTCCTTAGAAGGCACTGTTTTTGGTTATCTGGCACATCTGGAATATCATCTCTAGTGGTCAGTGAGGATGAAACACATGTATAAACGCATGCACATATGCACATACATATGTAATATGACAACCTGCAATGCACCTGCATGCTTATGTTGTTCATGGAATGGTAGTTTTGAGGGGGAAATTATCAAGGAATCTTTTTCCCCCTTTTTTTATACTTTTAGTTTTATTAAAATTATATATGCACATAATTTAAACAAGTAAAAGATAAAAGATGGTACAATGTAACTTAAAATCAGAAGTACTTTTCCTATTCCCTCATTTCCCTCTCTTTAAAAACAACTATTTCCTTTTTAAGTTTTGCTTTTTGGTATTAACATTCATATTTCTATGTATTACACTTACAGTGCTCCTTCTTGATTAAAAAAAAAATTAGACAATTTTACTGATGTCCCACTAAGAAAAATCTGGATTTAGTTCTCTTTCTACCCTCTCCTGTCATTACACATGGAGTTTTCCATTCCTTATCCTCTCTTTATAGTTATATTATAATTTTGCTTGGATTGATATTCAGCATTTACATTGTTATGACTTTGTAAACATTAATCACAGCTGAGCCAGGTAATAAACTGTGATTACTTTTCCTTCTGTGTATGGCTTTTTGTTTTATATGGAGTCATAATAATTTTTCACTTGCTAGGTTTTCTATATAGTTTTAAATAATTCATCTCCCTTAAAGGAATATTTAAGTTTTGGTCAGAGATTTATTTCTGGTTTTTGTTAATAATAGTTAACAGCTATAAAAGAATGAACAGTGTCTAATTCTAGTATAAAATAGACTTTTGATTAAGTTTCTTTATTTTGAGTATTCATACACAGATTACACATGTACAAATGTATTTTAACCACATACACATAAGTATATATGTACAGATGTAATGATCCCCATTGTCTTGCAATAAGAGGAATGTCCTTATATACTTGTTCTCTTAATTATCATATATTTTTACATCATTTTATAATAGTAATATTCCTCTGTTTTATGTTTTTATTTAGTGCTTATGAATATTAACTTTGATCCTTTTATTAGTTATTCTGGTGGATGCTATAACACATTACCTCAAGTTTTTTCTTTTTTTTTGGCAGAACTGGGGTTTGAACTCAGGGCCTCATGCTTGGTAGGCACTTGGTAGGCTCTCCCACTTGAACCACTCCACCAGCCCCAAGTTACCTGAAATTTAATGACTTAAAATGACAGAAATGTATTTTCTCACAGTTGTGGAGATCAGAAGTCCAAAAGCAGTTTTACTGAACTAAAATTGAGGGCCATACTCCCGCTACAAATTTTTAGGGGAAAGTTTGTTCTTTATCTTTTCCAGCTTTTGATGCCTGTCTGCTGGCATTCCTTTGCTTGTGACCACATCCTCCCAATTCTCTGCCTGTGTTTTCTGAACCTCCCTCTTATCGCTCTCTTACAGTGACACTTATGATGGTATTTAGTGCCCATCTGGATAACCCAGGATTGTCTCCTCATCTCAGGACCCATAACTTAATCACATCTACAAAAGGCTTTTTTTTCCATATAAAGTAGTATTTATAGTTCTAGGGATTAGGACCACGTGTCTTTGGCCATTATTCAGCCTACTGTAATCCTCAAAGTTAGTCATTGAAAGGGCCTTAGAAAGTTGAGGTTCAGTGAAGTCTTAATGGAAGAGAACAGAACAAATGTTACGCATATTCCTATTGCTAGATCAGTTGAAATATCCTGCTTAAGGGACTGTAATCAGTCTGGCTCTAGTAGAGATTGGGACTAAAAGGGGAATGAATATTCTGAACCCCTATTTTAAATTTGTAGCAATGGAGCTTTTGTATCCTCTGTCGTGTGGTATGGGGCAAAAATACCTACCATAGCTGATAATGAATGAAAGCAGGTGTATTCTTGGCTCTGTATTTTTCTTCATAACTTCAGCTGCACATATATCTGTTTTTGTATTGTGAATAACTCTGTCTTGATCCTACTCTGCAGTTAACTAAATCTGTAAGACTTACTCTTTGTAGAACAAAGAATAATATTTCATGGTGATTTATCTAGCTAGATGTGTAGGCCTCTAAAAGGAGGAACAAAGCAGAGATGATATACTGTGGAAAAACGGGGCTGGTAGTAAGTAGTGTTTTTAGCCCTAGCTCATTATTAGTGAAAAAATTTGAAGTATTTGTTATATCTGTAAATGATAGTCATCATTTTCCTTCAAGTAAATCTTGATGCTGTTAAAGTTTCAGTGAATGGGTTAAAAGTAGTCCTGGCGTTTGCCAGGGGTGGTGGCTCATATCTATAATCCCAGCTACTTGAGAGGCAGAGACCAGGAAGATCATGGTTTGAGGCCAGCCTGGATAAAAAGTTAGCTAGACCCTATCTCAAAAAATAAACTGGGTGTGGTGACACATGCTTGTCATTCCAGCTACATGGGAAGGATAGGTAGGAGGATCATAGTCTGAGGTCAACCCCAGGCAAAAATGTGAGACCCTATCTAAAAAATAACTGAAATAACTAAAGCATGAAAAAAGAGGCTAGGGGCATGGCTCAAGTGGTAGAGCACTTGCCTAGCAAGCTCCAGGCCCTGAGTTCAAACCCCAGTACCACCAAAAGTGTTCTAGCATTGCCATAATTCTCTTAAGTAGTGTGGAGATATACTTGTCCTCTACCTGATACAATGCTTATCCTAAAAAATAGTATAGATCACAGTTCATCTCTTTCTTTTCCCTACATTCCCCCTCCCCCTCTGTCTTTTTTTGTTTTTTGAGAAGGATCACTATGTTAGCCCAGCCTGGCCACAGAACTCATGATCCTCCTGCCTCAGCATCCTGAATGCTGGGATGACAGATGTGTGCCACCACATCTGACTTCTAAAATGGGACTTGAGATTTGAGATACAAAAAGAATAGGCTGTGCTCCTGAAAAAGAAATTAAGATAGGTATACACTGAAATTAGTAACTGTAAGGAATGAACACAATAGACATTTGTCAAATGTTACTTAGAGTAGTTGAAACAAATTGTTTCTTTTGAGATACTTGCTTTCTAGGTTAACTTTCTGGAGGAGATCTGAGAAAAGACTTCAGCCTTAGTTTCAGATGGTGAGAGAGGAGAAGGGATTCATGTAAACAGGAAAAAAGTTTTAGGGGAACTAGATGTAGTCTTCTAGCAAGGAGCAATGAAAGCAGTTAAGCATACAAGGACCAGTTGGAGAAATAATTCTTTATTAAAAAGATAGATAAAGTAAGGAATGTGTCTGCTCAGTAATTTCCAAGAATATTCACATTTTAAGTTTGGTATTTTGTGTACATACATAATACAAAGTATGCATTGTTTAAAAACTGATTTCAGTAGCAGCCCTTAAATCAGGTTATAAGGTTATCAAGTTATTATCTTAGAATAACGACAATAATGTTGTAAAACACTATCAGCAGATCAAAGTCTCCTTTGTAAGTAATATTGTCATAAGTCTGGCGGTTTTTTTTTTTTTTTGAATAAGGTTGAACTGTTTTCCTGTGGGAATGCTTACTGCATTTGGTATTAAGACTTTAACCTGTCTGTTTTTTCCAACTTTCTCTGGCAGCTTAGTCACACCATGAAACAGGCACGTCACCAGCTGGCATCCTTTAAAACTGTGAGTAAAAAAATACATCAGTATTTACAAAAGGTAGAAGGAAAAGCTCTCCCACTCAAAAAAAAAAAAAAACTAATTTCCAATGCATTGTGTTCAAGAATACAGGTGAAAAATAAAGCTTTATTTGCATCTCAGCAAAATTTAGAACTGTAAGATATTTGGAAATAGCCATAATATCCCTCAGTCAGAAGTGTTTGAGTAAATTATGATATATCCTTAAATAGCCATTGTAAAAAATATCATGTTTTTAGAGAATATCTGAAGACAAGGGAAAGTATGATTTAATGAAAGTGAGAAAAGTAAGATATAAAATTATATATGGTATGATCTCAATTTAAAAATATGTATTCATTCAATACGTATTTATGGAATGTCTATCATTGCTAGGCATTATTCCAGAAACAGGACTTACATTGGTAAAAATAAAGACAAAGTCCCTCAAGAAGCTTCTGTACAAGAAGAGACATATATAATAATAAACAAGCAAATACAGACTTTCATGTGAAAAGTGCTATAAAGCAAAGCAGAGCAAAATAGAGAGATGGGGAGAGAATGCTATGTGCATAGAGAGATGCCTGGAATAAGTGACATGAGAGATTAATACTCTTAGAGAGATGGGGAGAGAATGCTATGTGCATAGAGAGATGCCTGGAATAAGTGACATGAGAGATTAATACTCTTAGTGTGTGTGTGTGTGTGTGTGTTGCTATGTTGCTAGGGATTGAACCCAGGGCCTCACGAGTGCTAGGCAAGTGCTCTACCACTGAGCTACATCCCCAGCAATGCTGACTGTTTCTGTGTATTATTATAGGTAAATTTTATTTTCTCTTTGTCTTATTTTTACTTTTTTTACATAATATATGTATCTTTCTAATCAGGAAAATAATAAATACTATTACTTTTTTGCAAAAATAAAGGAATTCTTTTGACTCCAAATGTAAGTTTAGAGTGAATAATTAGAATCTAAATGTGGAGCTAGACTAAAAAGAATATTTAAGCCTTTATTTGTAAAATGACATTGTTTTGGTGCATATTTATTTCAGAGTTGACAAATTTGGATGTTCGACATATACATGTTCCTGTATTTACTTAGTTTTGGCATTAATTTCAAATTTTGATAGGAAGCATCTAGTAAAATAGGCCATTTGTCTTTTTAGTTCATTTATTTATGTTTCCTTCGTTAAATGTCTCTTATTTCTTTCTCAGTTTTGCTTCCTAATTGGAAGGTTCTTTTACATTTTCATAGCTCATGTATATTCACTTATCAGTTAACAACAGGGACATGCTTAGAGAAATGTGTTGCTAGTTGATTTTGTCATTTTATAAATATCGTCATCCATACTTAAAGAGGGCTACCATGTCATTAGGTGACAGTCTATGGACTATCATCACAAATGGTGTATTTACCTTAAGTATCTCAGCACAACCATCAAAAATATTTGTCTTTTTATATGTTTGCATTTGGTTGAATAATAAATTATAAGAGTATCCCTCAGTAATAATTTAAAAACTTGTATGTTAAATAAGTAGACATAGATGTGTGTCCATATATGGCAACCCCTGCTGGATGTATTCAGTTTGATTGCCTTTTTCTGACATTGTCTTTATGTGACTCTGGAAATACCCTTTCTTTTGTACCTCAGTTATTTTCCGAGGCTTGGTTTTTTGACAATTTTCATATCTACCATGGATTTGGCAGCACTGTGGTTTGGGCTATTAGACCCAATCCAGGATACTATTAGAAAGAGATGATTGAACATCACCAGGAAAACAGTGTTGTTACTTCCTAGAGACTGATAATTTATATTGTTTGGGATGTGCTCAGGGCTTTCAATTGGTGTTTTTTCAAAAAGAGTACTGTTCATAGGTCTGACTGAAATAATTAGTCCTGTAGAAGGAGGATTAATTCTGAGATTAACATCCTTATGCAAATCAATTTTATACACCAGAGGTGCCATTTTAAGTATATTCATTATTACTAGGATGATGATAATGAACTTAGACTTGCTAGCTTCAAAAGAATGCATATGTGAACTTTTGTTGGGTTGGGAATGATCTGAGAAATTAACAAAAATTTTCTTACTAATTATATCTAGTCTTTTCCTTAAATTGAAACAATTTTTGCCCTGTCAGTTATGTGAAGTAGGTGTCTGCCAATGAGAAAGAACAGTATATAACCTAGTCATGCTTTGCTTTCATTTCCTTATTAGACTTTAGTTCCATTAGAATGTGTCTGGTTGTTATTCTTGTTCCAGACTTGGAGGGTACAAGTAGAACATACACTTGCTTGGGCTCTTTCAGGTTGCTAAGACTAGTGTCATGAGTCCTCTGAAATTGTTAGTGGCTAGAATGGTGGCAGATTGTCATTTATAAAGGTTATATATTCTCTTCTTCATTTGTTTCATTCCATATGTTGACATGTGGTTGGTTTGAATGTTTGAAGAAGAGCTCACTGTATTTTCCTTTATTCTATATAAGGCTACTATAGATCATACTAAGATCATATCCAGATCTTTTGAAAAGGTTCGGTATCATGAGAATATTGTTTTCTCTAGACTATTTACATATGTCTTGACTTTTTTTCCCCTAGAAAGCACTTTCTAGAAAACCAGAATACATCAAGATAAATATAGGAACAAGAAGAGAGTTACCCCTTAAGATCCATCAGGATCTTTTAGCTACTGTGCATTATCAGAACTTGATGGAAAATCAGGTAGGGAAATGAGGTACAAATGTGTATTTCCTATTTGTACTTCTTATGGAGAAAATGTCTATTCAAATGCTATGCCTAATTTTTAATTGGGTTGTCTTTTTATTATCAAGTTTGAAGTGTTTTTTATGTACTCTGAATAGAGCAGACATATTTCTCCCATTCTGTGGGTTGTCATTTTACTTTGTTAATGCTATCATTTGCAGCACAAAAAATTAATTTTGATATAGTTCAATTCATTTTTTTCTTTTAATGAGTATCTAGTAATCCAAGGTCATGAAGTTTAATTCTATGTGTTGTAAGAATTTTATACTTTTAGGTCTATGATTCATTTTGAATTAATTTTTGTGTATGTTGTGAAGAAGTGATCCAGTTTCATTCTTTTGTATGTTGGTACCCAGTTGTCTGAATGCCAGTTGTTGAAAAAGATTACTCTTTCCCCATAGACTTGTCTTGCACCCTTGTCTGAAATCAATTGACTATAAATGTGAGGGTTTGTTTCTGGCCCTCCATTCTATTCTGTTGACCTATATGTCTGTTCCCATGCTAGTATCATACTGTCTTGATTACTGTAACTTTTTGGTGGGTTTTGAAATTGGGATGCTCAGATTGGTCTTTAACTCCTGGGCTCATGTTTTAGCCTCCCAAATGCTGGGACTGCAGCCAGTCACCACCACATTAAGCAATATTTTTATCTTAACAATATTATTTCACAGTTCTAAGCATGGGTTGTCTTTTCATGTATTTAAATCTTTAATTTCTTTGAACAATGTTTTATAGTTTTCAGTGCACAATCTTGTACTGTAAACATTTAATGCTGTTTGAATATGCTGTACTGTTAAAATTACGTTAGCAGTGTCCTGAAGCTTAAGATTTGTATTGGAATCATATTGTTTCTACTAGTAATAGCTACCTTTAGTTTTTGTTTTGTTGCTTTTGTTTTATTTTATTTTGTTTTATTTTGCTTTTTCTTTAGGGCCCTGACTATGTTATGACAGATGAGAAATGGAGAGAAGATTTGTTTTGTGAGGAACAGCAGGATCTCCTTTCTGAAGACAAGACTATGTCTTTCAACAGAGTTCAGGTTAAGCAATAAGAGTAACTAAACTATTGTGCTTTGAACTAAGGCTTGCCAGCACTGTTCTACTGGTTTGGGATTTTAGATTTAGTTTCTTTTTAAGTTGGGCAAAAACTGATTTCACATTTTTATTCTAGTAATTTGTTTGACTACCCTATCATTTTAAGATTATTTTAGGAGTCTCATGTAAAAACTAGATTTTTTTTAAATTTTGTTTTTTTTATTACCATATTATTGATATACCAGGGTACATTGTGACATTTACAAAAGTGCTTACAGTGTATCTTAGTTAAGTCCACCCCTGTATCATTCTCCTTTATCCCCCTTCCCCCCTTCTTAGAATAGTTTCAACAGGTCTCATTTTTCTATTTACATACATGTCTACATAATATTCCCACCATATTTGTCCTCCTTCATCCTTTCCTTATGTCCTCCTAACTTCCACTGGTACCAACCCCCAGACAGGATCTGTTTTACCTTCCTGTCCTTCGTTTTTGAAAAAAGACATTTTTGTTTGTTTAAGATAACAATACAGGGAGTTTCATTATGACATTTCCATGTATTTATATATTATATATATGTATAACACATAGACATGTATGTATATATGTGCATATAATGTGTATGAGTGCATGTATGTATCCATGTATATTATGTATTATATCCTGGTTCATCTCCCGCATTTTTCTCCTTTCTACCTTAGTCCCCTTCTTTTGAAAACCTAGATTTTTGCTATTACCTAATGTTCTATATTTGGTGTTTATATTCACTTTTAGAAAGTAAAGTTCAAAACTCCATTATTTGTTGTGATGGAAGAGGACAAACAAAAGGAGTTGTATTCTCAGAGACTTCAGGATATTCTGCCAGAAGCCCAGGATTGTCTTCTAGAAGCTCAGTGTGATCTGCCAGAAACCCAGGGTGATTTGATAGAAGTCCAGAGCGTTAAACCTGAATCTCCAGGTGTTGAGCCAGATATTCGAACTATTGAGCCAGAATGCCAGACCACTGGGCCAGAAAGCAAAGTTATTAAGACAGAAACTCAGAGTACTGAGCTAGAAGATGGGAATACTTATTTGGAATCCCAGGATTTCCCACCCCAAAACCAAGCCCTTGTACCCAGAGGCCAGAATTTTCTATCTAAATGTCAGGGCCAGAATTCTCTACCCAAAGACCATGGTGTTCTCCCTAAAGACCTGAATATTCTACCTAAGTCCCAGGACCAGAATTTTCAACCTGTAGAGCAGGATTTTCTACCTGGAAACTGGCTTGTCCTTCCCAAAGAACATAATATTCTACTCAGAAATCAAGACCAGAATTTTCTACCTAAAGACCAGTGTGTCCTCCCCAAAGACCAGAAGTTTTTACCCAAATATGAACACCAGAATTTTCTACCTAAAGATCAGAATTTTCTACCCAGAGATGACCAGTGTGTTCTCCTCAAAGAACAGAATATTCTACTTGAATATCAGGACCAAGAGTTTCTCCCTGTCAACCAGGATTTTCTACCTAGAGACCAGAATATTTTACCCAAATGTGAAGACCAGAATTTTCTCCTCAAAGGCCAGTGTGTTCTCCCAAAGGACCAGACTACTCTACACAAATGCCAGGAGCAAGATTTTCAACCCCCAAATCAGGTAAAATAGAGTTGAAAGGAGCTATAATAAGAAGAAATAAATTACTTAGAATTTGGAGTGGGACTTCAAAAGATTATATTATAGCTGATTTGGAGATCTGTAGTTGGAAAATATAGTTTCTCAAAACTTCAGGGTTCATACTAAGTGTTAAGTATTATCAGAATATTATCACTAGCTGGACAATTTATTATTTTTTTTTTAAATTTTCTTCATTAGGAAAAATATTTCTGGCCGCCACCTTCTGCTTTGACAGCTGGAATATGGAAAAAGGAGTGTCCCACAAGTACCCAGTGGTATCTTTCACACAGATTCCCACGCCAGTTCTCCACCAGAGATAAGTTAGAGCAAAAGGAAGAAGAGGATCAACAGGAAGTAAATTTCTTAGGGTTGTGGTTGGGCCTTTGTTAGAATGGAGTAGATTTTTGTTTTATTCCATAAGTTGCCCAGTTATACTCTGACCTCAGTTAACTTCAAAAAATTCTCACTGAAGCCTAAAGTCTAAGTTAAGTTGTTCATACTTAACTGAAGAATTCATATTTTGGATTTGTTCTCTTTTAGGAAGCAAATTTGAAGCAACCAGCATCAGTTTTGATAGTTAGGCACATGAGAGAGGAGCCTCCTCTTGATATCCATCACAATCTTCTATGCAGCCATCATCAGATCTCCATCAGGGACAAGGTAGAACAGAAAAAGGACAGAGCCCAGCAGGATCTGAATTGTTTAGGGTTTAGGTTGGAGATTGCAAAGCTTGTCCTCTGTTAAGCTTCGGAACTGATAAAAAAGCATACTTTTCTGTCTTATTCCATTATATTTCACATTACCCTGGACTAAAAAAAAAAAAAGATACATAAAGGTTCTCAACAAAGCCCAGAACATTATTGTTATTCTATTACTGTTTGTGGACACTTTATAGTTTGTGTTTTTTCTCTTTTAGAAAGTATGCTTTAAGGAGCCATTCTTTGATAGGACAGATGAGAAAGAAAGAGAAGACTTTTCTCTGGCAGGTGATCAGTACCTGCCTCTCACACCCCAGTTCCAGGACTTCATCAGAGATCAGGTAGAGCAGAATAAAAAAGAGAAAGAAATGGGAAATTAAGTATTTGGGTTTTACAAATTCTAAAACACTGGTAATTTGAAGTATAGAATTAAGGACTTTGGAGCTAACCTAAGAATACAGTATTTTAGTATTCCTTTCCACATTAGTGAATGAAAATCCTAAGTCTTATTAGAGCAGAACTCCTACTTTAAGAAGAATGGACATAAAGTATAAATCCTTAGTAATTCAGTTCCTGCTGGTCTCTTGTTTTCTGTCCTACTTTGTGTTTATCTTACTAGTGAACTACACAAATCATATCTGGCTGATATATTGGTTAGAATATTTTAATTGGTCAGTATTATTCTCCTACTCTTGCTGAGTCTCACAGTATTATCACAAGCATACTGCTTCTACATGAACAATATAGGAAGAAGTAGCAGATCCTAAACTACTTTAAGATTTGGTGAGCTTGTCCAGTTGTTCTGTCTGTGGTTTATGATTAAGAATTAAAATATTCAAAGTTAGATAAAAAGTGTAACATCCTCACTGATATCAAAACATCAGAATAAACATGATCCCATTTCTCTGGAGTTCTCACTGAAGCCTGCAAGAGTATGATAAGTATATTCCCTTTGTTTTTGTTATTCCTTTAGGACATGTTTCTCTTACAGCCCTCATCTTTTATGAGAGAAGAGAAAGAGAAAGAGGAGTTGCCTCTGGAGTATCATCAGTATGTTCCACCTAAAATCCAGGACCAGTTCTCCCCTGGAGAAGAGGTAGAACAGTATTCACAGAAAGAGGGCTATGCACTTTGTAAAAGGAAGACTGTGATAAATTACTAAGATTGGGCTGAAGTTTATCAAGCTAGCTTACATGTGGAATACATAGACTTAAGGCCTCCATAGTTAGGCTAAGAGTAAAATGCTTTCAGTTATTTCAAAATGTTCCAGAATCATCTAAGATTTGCTTTAAAATACTCATAGAAAAAGTTTGAGAAGAGAGATGTAAAGGCAAAATGTTGGTAATTGTTGAAGTTGAATGAGGATACTTTGTGATTCATTATTTGATTTTTTTCTATTTTATGTTTGAAAATTTTTGTACACATATACACAACATACATACACAGATCCATAACTTTGTTCTGTTATCCTTACCTAGTATTATTACCCTAGGATTATCATTGAAGTCTAAAGTATTATAACTAGTCTATCATATTTGTTTAGATAATTAGTTTCCTGTTCTGTTGTTCCTTTAGAACAAGTGTGTCAAACAATCTTTATTTTTGGAGAAATGGGAGATTATGAGATGAGTTGCTTTTGAAGAGCTGTCACCATGTTTCACCTAGTATGTGAGACCTAGCCTCTCCCAGAGAATAAGTAGAGACTCATACAGTGAAGAGTAGGTAGCAGAGAATAAATTGCTTAGGCTTTTTTCACCTTGGTTCTGGGATTTGAACAGGGCCTCTTGCTAAGTAGGCACTCAACTGCTTGAGGCATGCCTCCAACCCCTTTTTGCTTTGCTTATTTTTGAAATAAGCCCACCATGATCCAGACTGTGATCCTCCTATCTTAAGCTTCCTACCAGAGCTGGAATGACAGGGTGCCACCACACCCAGCTTTTTCTGTTGAGATGGGGTTCTCCTGGACTTTTTGCCTGGACTGCCCTTGAACTGCAGTCCTCCCTATTTCAGCCTCTCAATTAGCAAAGTTTACAAGTGTGAGCCATGTGCCTGGATTTGCCTAGGTTTTGGCTCAAGGGCAATATAATAACTGCTTCAAGGGTTTAGTATTAAGGTGAGTAATAATTGGCAAAAAATATAATGTCCTCTTGTTCTGTGATGTATCACACTATTCTGATTGATTGAAACTACCTCAGGCCTCTTTACTGAAGCTTACTGTTGCTGCAGGTGTGATGCTTCTGCTTGGGTAATTTGTGTCAATGTTTATGTTGTCTTTTAGCACAGGAACTATGGGCAGGCATCATGTGGTGTGACAGATGAGAGATGGAGAAAGGAATTATTTCCAAAGTGCCATGGATATGGGTTACATGAAATCCAGGATCCAGGCTCTGCCAGAGAGCAGGTAGAGCAGAATATAGTAAAGAGTAAGCAGCAAAAAGAAGAGTTTGGACTGGGCTTGTCAGGGCTATGTTACTAATATTACCAGTATTGTTATCATTTTAACTAACAGCTTATATTCACTACATACTTAAAATAGCCAGAATGGTTTTTTAAGTTTGTACACATTATTTTATTTAATCCTTATAAGTAACCCTGGGAGAAAGATATTATCTTTGTTTTATAGATGAAATTTAAGATTGCTTTGCACATAGAGTTATCCATGGAGCGGCAAGAAGTATGTCTAATTTTATGCCATAATACATCAAAACATTCTGACTATTTAAATTACTTTAAGGCTATTACTAAAGCCTATAGTATTGTCTCTACTATTAATGTCACCACTCACACAATTTGTGTCTTTCAGAGCTTACACTTTAGACAGCAGCCATCTATTGGGACAATTGAAAGGTGGCAAGGGAATTTGCTTCTGGATGACCATCATCATCTTCCATCCAGGCACCAGAGAGACACCTGCAGCAGACGACAGGTAGAACAAACCACAGAATAAGGCAATGGAAAGAACCCTTGAAACTGTGAGCCATTTCACACCTTTATAATAGGCACTTATTGGACTGGAAAGGAAAAGGCTAAACAGAAAGCAGATTTTTGTTTTATTTCAGAGCATGCAAAACCTATCCTAAGATTATTTTGGAACTTTTACTGTACTCTAGGGTATTGTTAGAAACATCTTTTGCTTACTGGAAAAATACATTTTGTGTGTATGATTTATAAGAGGTATATTTCAGGTGTCCATTGTTCTTTATGGTGTGAGAGGGGAAGATATGAACAGTTTCTGAGGGAGAGGAGTTATAAGACTTCCTCCATTGGCCGGGACTAGATCTCATCAGTAAGCTGGAAGAGTATAAGGCAGGACCACCATGAAATAAACTAGTTAGATTTAGGGTGGAGTTTGTTAGGACTATTTTGCCTAAGGTCTGGGACATTGAATTAAGATCCCTGTTTTTTAAAAGAAAATTTTACAATATCCTGGCCCACTAAGATTTCTTCATGGCTTAATAGAAGTCTAGCTTATTGCTAACATTGTGGTTTTCTGTTATTTTGGAAAAAAAGGCTTGGTAACTAGCAATTTTAGGCTAGTTTCTCTGAAAAATAAACAGAGAAATTTCCTCTTGGAAATTTAAGAGGCAGAAAGAAAAGGAACCAAGGAGGCAGAAAGTATGATTTGGACTAAGGCTTCAGGAATGAACTGCAGCTCCCTTGTGATTTTTAGTTTGTCTATAAGTTGGCCTCTAAGGGTATACTGTCATGATTTATTCAACATTGTCAGGCTCTTTTCTGTGTCAGGTCTTTTGCATTTGTTTCTTTGCCTGGACAGTCTTCTTTCCCTTTTTCCTTCACAAAATTGATCCCTTCTCATCTGTTACTGTTTGGATATAAAATGTTTGCAAAGACTCACGTGTTGGTCTCCAGATGGTGGTGCTATTGAGAGGTGATTGGATCATGAGGGAGCTAAACTCATCAGTGGGTTTAATTCATTGAATTTGTAGCTAAATGGGCTGTTCACAGGTGGGACCTCGTTGGAGAGACTAGGCACATGCTTTTGGAGAGTATATCTTGTTTCTGGCCTGTTCTGTTACCCTCTGCCTCCTCTCCACTATGAGGTGGACCATTTTGTTGCATGACATGCTCCCTGCTATGAAGTTCTGCTTCACTATACATGAACCCAGAAGCAATAGAGCCAAGTAACTATGGACTGAAAGCTCTGAAACTGAGCTGAAGTAAATGTTTCCTTCCTTAGTTGACTTTCTCAGGTATTTTATCACAGTGACCAAAAAGACTGGCTAACACATCATCCATTAGGTTTCAGCTTAAATGGTACCCCCTTGTAAAAAACTGCCCTGATCACCTTATGAAAAACAGATCTTCTCTCTTCTCTTTATATCTGTCCTTTATTGCATTCTGTTTGTTTCCTTCTCAGTACAAAACAATTTGCAATAATTTATTTGCACTTGTTCTTGTTTTCTAAAGATTTCCTGCTGCACCATAAGCTTCATAAGAGAAGTACTATTACATAATTTTGTTTTGTGGTATATGAACATCATTTGGCACAGTGTCTGGTACCTGATAGTCTCTTGGTAAATATATTTTGAACAAATTAGCCAATCAGTCAAATACATGTTGAGCATCTGTTAGGTGTTAGTGATTATTTAGTTACTATTAAAGATATAACTGTGAATAAGACACAGCAAGGCAACATAATTACTAATAAAAGAACATAGGACATTCACAAAGAATGAAAGAGGGGTACCTACTCCTGACTGTTCAATTCAGGCTGAAGCTTTGATGATCTAAACCACTTTTGCTTGTCCTTCTTTCAAAAACCCTGAAAATCCCTAACCCTGGAACAATCTTTTCTCCCTTTTGCATTTCCAAATAACCCCGCCTTATTGGAGAAAACACTTTAATAGTGTATGGTGTAGATTAACACTACTTTTATAGTTGGTGTTTCCAGTCATGCCAAGTTCCCAGTTGCTGCTTAACATTTTTCTTTTTTGTTCCCTGTCAGCTCTTTCTAGTGCCCTACACTAACTATTCTAAACCTTAAACACTCCCTAAATTTCTTGCTGCACCTCCATATTCTCAGACTTCCATAAAGAAAATAGAAGCCACCACACCATAACTAGCTGCTTAACTATTTACTTTTCTTTTCCCCTGTCACTATTGCCTATTCTTACTATCCCAGAGTTACTTCTTTCTGGATTCATATTCTGGATTCCCTAGCTTTCTTTTCTTCTAGATCCTTCCCCATTAATTATCCTATGACACAAGTATATCTTCAATCACTCTTTCCCTTTCTTAGCTCTTCTCTTTCATAAATATTCTCATCTTTTCCATTAAAAAGTCTTGAATTTATAGTCAATGGTTTTAAAACATACATAATTCCTTCATGGCTCTTGTTTCTGACATAATTGTGATCTTGCTGTAAATAAAAATTTCCATGATTGCAGTTAATTTTTTGAAATAATAATCCATGTTTACTGTCTCTATTTTACCATCCCTTCATTTCTCAGTTTTCTACAATCTGACTTCTATCACGACCAATACTCTTGAACTGCTGTTTACAAAGTCACCTTTGTCCTCCTTGTTAATAAAATCATTGAAACTTTTTACTTTTTATGTTAGTGACTTTTCTGCAGTATCTAAAACTATTGACTACTTGTTTCTTTTTTTTTTTTTTTTCCTTCCCCCCTCCCCCCAGTACTACTGTTTGAACTTAGGTCTCATTCTTGCTAAGGCAGGTACTCTACCTCTTGAGCTACTCCTCCAGACCTTTTTTGGCTTTAGTTATTTTTCAGACAAGGTCTTGCATTTTTGCCCAGCACTGCCTCAGACCATGACCCACCTACCTTTGCCTCCCAGTAGCTAAGATTGTAAGTGTGAACCACCATGCTTGGCTTGTTTCTTTCTTTTTCTTTTCTTTTTTTTTTTTTTTTTTTTTTTTGCAGTACTGGAGCTTGAACTCAGGGCCTACACCTTGAGCCACTCCACCAGCCCTTTTTTGTGAAGGATTTTTTCAAGATAGGCTCTCACAGAACTCTGCCTGGGCTGGCTTCTAACTGCGATCCTCCTGATCTCTGCCTCCTGAGTAGCTAGGATTACAGGTGTGAGCCACTGGTGCCCAGCCTGCCTTGTTTCTTAAGATGACATCTTGCTAACTATTTTTGTCTGGGGTGGCCTCAAATTGTGATTCTCCTGTTCTCTGCTTCCTGAGTAGTTGGGATTACTAATATGAGCCATTGTGCCTGGTCTAACTGCTTGTTTCTTCTTGAAACTCTTCTTCTTTGCCTTTTTTGTAACACACATCTTTAGATTTACTCCTAAAATTTTGGTTACTTTACTGAGTCTTCTTTGCTTCCTGAGTTTGTTTCCTAATGGAGTTCTTTAGGCTTGGCTCTAGTTTACCTATCCCTTCATACTCTTTCTGTGAGTGATATTTTATTTCTGTGTCTTCAGCTACTCCATGTTAGGATGATTTTGAAATCTGTCATTTGGCCAGCTCTTTCTCCTGAGCTCCAGCTTTCCAAATACCTGTCAGTCATCTCAACTCTGATATCCCATAGGTATCTTAAACTGAAGATGTTTAGAATTGAACATATCACTCATTCCAAAGCAATTCTTATACTCAAATAACACACAAGCCAGATCCTAGGAATTAGGTCCACATCCCCTTTCTGCCTCAGTCTTAGACTGTATTGATAAGGCCAGGCTGTAGCAGTTCAGTTTCATATTAAGCCCCACTTTCCATTTCTCTTCTCACTGCCAAAGTTTTAGCTCAGGCCTCCATTGTTTCTCATCTGGCCTATTATTGCTCTTCTAACTGGTTTCCTGTCTTCAAGTTTCCTACTCCATTCCATTTTATCCTTTATAATACAGCCAGAGAGCCTTTTAGTTTTAGAAATACTAATTTTTAGTCAAAAAAAAGGTCAAATAATGAGAATGCATTTTCATTCAAATTGTAAAAATTCAGGTGCACAAATAGAGGGATCAAAGTTATCTTTTATTATTCTATTTCTTCAGCCTTTTCCCTCTCCAAACATATCTGTCATTACTTCAGAGCTCATGTAGACTGTATTGTTTGCATGCAGATGTGTATGCATGTACACACACACATATTTTTTTCTGGTGATACTGGAGTTTGGCACATTCACACATAAATATAGTTTGGATTGTATAAACGCCTATGCTGGGTTTTACATAATGACATTGTATTATGTTGATTACTCTAGCTTGTTTTTTTTTTTTTTTTTTTTTTGAAGGCCAAGCTGGCCTTGAACTCCTGATCCTCCCATCTCTTTCCCGAGTGTTGGAAGTATATGCCACAATGCCTAGCTATAGCTTGCTTTTCAGTCTCATATATTAAACTGTGATATAATAAATTGATTTTTTTCCTCTTTAGTATGGATATACAAATACTCAACTGTATTAACAACCTTTTGGAGATTGGCTTCTATTACATATACCCACTAAAAGCAAGTAGCAGGATCTCCCTGCCAGGTTGTGACAAAAAAAAAAAATGCTTCTAAGTATTGCCAAATGTTACTTGAAGGGTAATTCCATCCTTCGATTGAAACCACTGTGTTAAGGAGATATTGTTTCACCTAGAAAAGTTTAAGAGGGGAAAAACTTAAGCTTTAAGAATGAATCTGGGGAGCCAGTTGCTGATGACTCACACCTGTGATCCTAGCTACTCGGGAGGTTAAGATTGGGAGGATCACAGTTTGAGGCCAGCACAGAAAAATAGTTTGCAAGACCTATCTCCAAAATAACCAGAACAAAATGGACTGGAGGTGTGGCTCAGGTGGTAGAGTGCCTGCTTTCTAAGCACAAAGCTGTGAGTTCAAACTCCACTCCCACCCAAAGGAAAAAGAAAAACTAATCTGAGGGAAGAAAAGAATAAAATGGTGAATCCTGTGTTTTTTATAATATGTGATGAGAACTTTATTGTAGAACTTTTAAAATGAAATATTGGGAGATAATACTATTCTACTTACACAGTTTTAAAAATATAAATGAAATACACAAAATAAATTCTTATAGAATGTTCAAACACTTTAAAAGCCTTTTTTAAGGCCCCACCTTTTAATTCTGTTTCTAATTGTCTCCTTTTCAAAGTTAATCACTGTCAAGAGTTGTATGTATTCTTCCAGTTCTCTTGTAAGCATTTGTATACATGTGAATGTAGGTATGTGTTTTAAAAATTATGGTAAAATGTACATAACATAAAATTTACCATTTTAACCATTTATTTATTTTGGTTTTTTGAGGCAGGGTCTCACTGTGTAGCACAGGCTGGCCTTGAGTTCATGATCCTCCTGCTCTTGAGTGCTGGGATTGCAGACAGGCAGGTTATTTTTTTCAAGTGTGTAATTCAATGGCATTGGAACATTCACATTGTTATGCAACCATCACCATTTGTCTCCAGAACTTTTTCCATCTTGTGAAACTGAAACTCTATGCGTATTAAACAACAACTTCTCATTCACCCTTCCCCCGTTCCTAGAATCCACCATTCTCCTATTTTCCTTAGTATAATGTTATAGCACAGGACAGTATTTGCTTTTAATTCTGAATATTCCATTGTGTATATATACTGTACTTTGCTTATCCATTCACCAATTGATGGGTGCTTGTGTTGTTTCCACCGCTCATTTGTTACACATAATACTGTAATGGACATGGGCATGTAAGCATGGAGGTAGAAGTGTCCAGTTCCATGGCTGCCTCATGAAGCCAGTAACTCAAGAGGCAGAGTTATGGAGGAAGAAAGAGTTTTATTAGCAACAAGTCAGCAAGTGGAAGATTGAAGGGTTTTACCCAAATTCCATCTTACCAAAGGTTACAAACTCAAAAGTGTATATATATATATATAAAAATGTTGGGTTTCTGAGGAGTCTGATTTTTAGCCATAGCCAGGTAGGCACTGGAATATTATTATTACTGTTATTATTATTATTATTATTACTTGCCATGCTGGGGATTGAATGCAGGATGTCACACATGCTAGGCAAGTACTCTGCCACTGAGTTATACTGCCAGTCCAGTCATTAATTCTTATAGTGATCCATTCTCTTTGTGTGGTATTGGTTAATTATTGCATAGGGGAGTGAGGTGGAACACAAATCAGTGAAAAACAGACTTGCTACTGTTAGGAGCAAGTTAACCCATTCTTATCAGCTTTAATTAACATACTTGCTAGTGCTAGGAGTGAGTTACTCATTTAGTAGCTTCAGGTATACAATACCTGTTCCAGTCTCTTTTTAAAATTCCTTTGTGTACATACCCAAGTGTGAAATTGCTGAATCATATGGGAATTCTATTTTTAATTATTTTGAGGAACTGCCATATTGTTTTCCATTGTGATTGTACCATTTTATATTCCCACTAGTATTGCACAAGTGTTCCTTTTTCATGTCTCTACATCCTCACTAATACTTATTTTCTGTTTTTTTTTTTAATTTATAACAGTCATCCCAGTCTCATTATGATTTTGATTTGTGTTTTCCTAATGGTTGAAGTTCATCATCTTATATGCTTATTGGCCATTTGTATATCTTTAGAGAAATTCTATTCAAGTCCTTTGCTATTTTAAAAAAGTCAGTTTGCTTTTTTTTTAAATTGTTGAATTAGAGGAGTTCTGTAGGTATGTCTGATGTATTATTTGCAAATATTTTTTCCTATTTCATTCTGATAGTGTCCTTTAGAATGTAAAAGTTTTTAATTTCAATGTAGTCCAATTTATTTTTTCTTTTGTTACCTGTGTTTTTGGTGTCATATTTAAGAAATTGCCAAATCCAATGCTATACGGCTTTCTGCTGTTTTCTTCTGAGAATTTTGTATTTTAGCTCTTATTATAGGTTATTGATCTAGTTTGAATTAATTTTTGTATATTTTATATGGTAAATGGGCAGTTTCATTCTTTTACATATACATAGACATTTTCCCCATACCATTTGTCGAAGAGACTGTCCTTTCTCCATTGAATGGTCTTGGCTTTCTTGTCCAAAGCATTTGACCATATATATGTATGTATAAATATATATACATACACACAAGGGTTTGTTTGTAGACTGTCAGGTCTCTTCCATTGTTTTGCATGTTTTTATATCAGTATCACATTTTGATTGCTGTAGCTTTTTTTCTTTTTTTCTTTTTTTTTTTGGTGGTACTGGGGTTTGAACTCAGGGCCTTGTGCTTGCTAGAAGGTGCTCTACCACTTGAGCCACTCCTTCAGCCCATGATTGCTATAGCTTTGTAATAAGTTTTGAAATTAGAAATATGTGACTGCAACTTTATTCTTTTTCAAGATTGTCTATTTGGAGTTCCTTGAAATCTTATATTAATTTGAAGAAAGATTTTTCTATTTGTGAAAAAAATGCCATTGGAATTTTGATAGGGATTGTGTTAAATACATAGATTGTTTTGAGTAGTGTTGGGATTCAGAAAATGATATCCCAAAGTATAATGCTTTGGGCCTCAGAAGCAAGCTTTAAAAAGCAAAGTCTCTTTAACCTTTTCTGTTCTTTTGTCTCCTTTCCCCTTTTTCTCTGCCAAGGCAGGTCACAGGGAGTAGAACTTCCTTTTCCCCAACAAAGACAGAAAGCCTAAAAATATCACTTGAATCTTTCTCTGCCTTCTGTTTTAGAGCTTGCAGCAAACATTATCTGTCTTGCAGTAAATCATAAGAATGACCTCCATTTTAAAAGAGGTGCTGCCCCATACACAGACGGAAGAAACGCTGCACAGATTGACTGAGAAGAATCTTGACAGACAGGTCTTTCTGGGTTTCTCCACTGAGTCTTAGCATTAGAGCATACTCTTTGTCTAATCATTTCTTAGATGTCTGTCTGTATTTCATTGAACCTAAGCGTACAAATGAATAGTTTACCTTGGGTCTTTGGGTTTTCATTCTAAAGATCCTCATGTACATGAAACTGTGATAGAATAAATTTGTTATGCTTTTCCCTTGTTAACCTGTCTTTGTTAAAGAGGTTTTGGCCATGATCCTTAAGATAGGTAAGAAAAGATACCATTTCTTTTCTCCCTTACAGTAGTATTGACATCTTAGCGATAGTAGTCTTCTGATTCAGGAAAATGAGTGTCCTTTTATTTAATTTTCTTTCAGCAGTGCTTCATAGTTTTCATTGTAAAAGTCTTTTGCCTTATTGGTTAAGCTTATTTGTAAGTGTTTTTATTCTTTTTAATGCTATTGTAGATAGAATTGTTTTCTTAAATTTCTTTTTGGATTATAAATTGCTTATGTATAGAAATATAACTTTTGTTGTTGTTTATGTTTGTTTGTTTTTGTGTTGCTGGAGATCACATCTAGGGCCTTGTACATGCTAGGCAAGTGCTCTACTGCTGAGCCATATCCCTGGCCCCAGGATAACAGAAACAGTGGTTTTTGTGTTGATTTTGTATCCTTCTGTTGCAAAATGTATACAGTTCTTTTGTGGACTCTAGCATTTTTGGAGGCACATTCTCTTTTTTTCTACCTCTATTTTCATCAACCAATGAACACATAACTTATTTTATGGATATTTCTGTTTAAAGACACGTTATTTAATATACATGGTTTGGACTGGAGATATAGCTCAGTTATTGACTTTTTTCATTTGCCTCACATGTGCAAGGCCCTTGGTTTGATCCCTAGCACTACAAAAAAAAAAAATGAGAGAGAGAGAGAGAAAACATAATATATATGTTGATCTATTAACATTGCCAGCACTGTAACTCATGCTTGCATGGAAGCTTCTTTAACACATGTTGTTTTTTTTGGTGGGGGTTCAGGAGATTGAATCACAGCCTTTTTGTGTTTAGGAATAATAGGTAAGCAAAATGCCTGGGGGCCATCTTAAACAGTGAAATCACCAACAAAAATGCAAGAAACTTGGCATTACGTAGACCACAAAAGGACACCTGTATACATTACAATAAGAGCTGATTGGAAAAGGCAAAGCAGAGCATTGCCTTATTCACTTCAGGTTGACATGCATTTTGGGTTACTCAGATTTTTCATAGCTCTATGCATGTCTGCAAAGGGCAATATAAACTTTGTGAGTGTTGGGATTACATAAAAATTTTAGTGAATAGGCCAGTTTATAAACATGGAACATGCAAATAATGAAGATTGGCTATAATTCATAAGCATGTAATCGATCTATTTAAAATATGCAATTCAGTGTTTTTGGTATATTTTCAAGGTTATGCAAATATCATCACAGTCAATTTGAGAACATTTTCATAACCTCCCAAAAATTCTGTTTCCAGGAGTGCTACACAATGTTTTTCCTTTATCCTTATCTCTAGTGCTAGGCAACTACTAAGCTGTTTTATTTCTATGTAGATTTGCCTGATCTGGTCATTTCATATAAATGAGATTATGTAATATTTGGCCTTTTGTGACTGATTTCTTTTAACTTAGCATAATATTTTCAAAATTCATTGATGTCATAGCATATAGCAGGATTTCATTCCTATTAATTGCTGAGTATTTCCATTTTATGCATATAGCACAATTTATGTATCCATTCATTAATTGATGGGCATTGATTTGTTTCTACTTCTTAGCTCTTATGGATAATGTTGCTATGAACATTTGTGTACAAGTTTTTCTGTGGACATATTTTATATTTCTCTAAGTGGCTTCAACAGTTTTCATTCCCAGCAGAAGTGTATGAAGGTTCAGATTTCCCGCATCCTTGTAATCCTTTGTTGTTGTCATTTGCAGGCCTGGGAATTGAACCTAGGGCCTCCGTTCATGCGAGGCAAACACTCGACCACTGAGTTATACCCTCAGCCCCACACCTTTATGTTTAATTATTTTCCACTCAAGTAGGTGCTTTCATGTGCTTGTTGACCATTTGTATGTGTTCTTTGGAGAACTATTAGAGCCTTTGTCCATTTAGTAGTTGTGCTTTTTGTGTTTTGAGTTGCATTGTGAGAGTCCTTAATACATACTGGTCCCTTTCCGAATATATGTTTTGCACACATTTTCTCCCATTTTGTAGGTTTCTTCGTTTTTTTTTTTTAATGGCTTTCTTTGTAACAAAAAAGTTTTGAATTATGAGATCCAGTTATCTACTTTTTTGCTGACTTAAGGTTTTAGTGTCGGATAAGAAACCATAATCTAATAAAAGGCCCTGAATATATACTAGTATGTGTTACCTTTAAATTAATAATCCACTTTGAGTTAATTTTTGTATGTGATGTGAGGAAATGGTATAGCTTTATTCTTTTGTATGTGGTTAACCATTGTCCCTGCACCATTGTTGAAAAGACTGTTCTTTCTCATTGAGTTGTCTTGGTACTCTTGTTGAAAATCACTTGATGTGAGGGTTTATTTTTGAACTCTCAGTTCTATTCCTTTGGTCTATGTCTATCCTTATGCTAGTAAAACATGTCTTGATTATTATAGCTTTGTTGTAAAGTGTTGGGAAGGGTGAGTTCTCTAATTTTGCTCTTCTTTTTCAAGATTTTCTCAGCTAACCTGATTCCTATCATTTTCATAGAAATTTTAGGATCATCTTGTCAATTTCTGCAAAGAAGTCACCTGTAGTTTTAATGGAAATTGCATTAGCTCTGAAGTTTGAGGCACATTGCCATCTTCAGAATATTAGGTCTTTTAATCAATAAGCATGAGATAGCTTTCCATTTATTTAGGGGTCCTTTAATTTCATTCAACAATGTTTTGTAGGCTTCAGAGTATAAAATTAATACTTCCTTTATTCAACTTATTCCTAAATGTTTTAGTCTTCTTAGGGTATTATAAATGAAATATTTTTTCTTAATTTTGTTTCCAGCTTGTTCATCACAAACAAGTATAGAAATATAGTTGATCTTATATCCTGTTGTGATCTTCTATCCTGTAGCTTTACTGAAAGACAAATATCTTTTAAACTAAAGAGATAAAAAAGTAAATATTTTATTTCCAAAAGTTAGTGTTGCAGGCCGTGTTGAGAGTTCTTGCCATCATGGGCCAAAGAATTGGTTCATGAGGCACTGGATTGACTTGTGAGACAACAAGGTCAGCACAAAAGTAGGATTTATTAGAGGGAAAGGAAAAGCTGCCCTTAGCAATGCACAGAGAGCCTGGAAAATCTGTACCTCCCTATTGTTTACATAGAGGGGGTTTTTTATTTGGTCCTTTGTGTTGGGGAGGGGAGTCAGGAGTCAGAGATGGAGTGGTCTTTTGACATATCTCTGTAAGAACACACTCTATTGGGGAGGGGAGGTGTAGGAGTCAGGAGTGGAGTGGTCTCTTAACATATATCTGCAGGAACATACACACAGTCCTGTGAAAGCCTCCTGTTAATTGGCCTTGTGTCATTTTGAGGCATCCCAGGGGCCATGACTTGTGAAACACCGTGTCCCTTTACTGGATGTAGAGCTCACAGTACTCTCATGGGGAATGGGGCAACTGGCTCATTTTATCTTCTGATCCCCCAGACCCAACATTAGAGATCATAATGACCCATATAATGTCCAGGTAGATTACCAACTTACAAAGTTTTCCTAGAAAATATGGTGGGAAGTTAGTTCCTCCATGCCATGCCAGTTGATTGATAAATTGTTTCCAGGCTTATATTCACTGTAATCGTGCCTTTTAAGAGAGTTGTATAGATTGAACATGACCGTAGACTTGAGATATTTAGGGATCTGGCTTTGTATTTGGATTTAATCCCAGCCATACTTGTGCAGAATGATTTCAAGTGACCACTTTAAGAGAACTTTGTTTCTGAACATTTGATTTGTTATTTGTTCATTCATGTTTTTGACCCTAATTTTTTTCTTTAGTTTATTTTGTTGTTGTTTGGTTAGTCAATTCCTTGTGGAACTGCTTCCTTTCATTCTTTTTTTGCTTTTATTCTTTTATATTTCTTTTTTGGTTTTGATCCAATTGACTTCAAGGTTGCAGGAAAAAAGAATTAATAGATAAAAATAAAGGATTCACAGGGCTAGCTTTTGGTAATTTTGTCTATGTCCCTGGTCTTTCTAACAGGAGTATGATGACAATCATTTGGGATTGAGCACTGAATTCCAAGTTCCACTGGCATTTCAGTCTGGAGTAGATCAAGAAGAAGACAAGAAAGAGGTATATAATAATGATGTTTTTGAATACCATGATAATATAAGTGAAGTTGGGGGCAGTTTGCTGCTTCCTAATATATTACGAACTAATACTGCAAATTCTAAAGAAGTTTATTGTCTCTTCCAAGCTCGTAAGATTTAGAGTACATTGATGTGAATCAAAGATTTGATTGAAGTGAATTTCTTCAGTAGTATATATTTGTTGCTATAACTCATTTAACGGAACATTTTAAATTTATGGCTTCCTTTTATTTCCCTTTCCAATTTAAAGTTAGGTTTACACTAACCCTGGCCATGAACCGGAATTACATGTGGAGATTTTTCAAAATACAGATGCCTGAACCCAAACCAGATATACTGAATCTCTATCTGAAAACGTAGGTTTGGGGCATTTGTGTTTTTATGATGCATCCTCAATATTGAGAACTGCTATTTAATAAACTTTTTATAATTTCTATCAAAAAGCCCATACCCTAGTATATGCATAAATATGCTTTTTCCCATTTGAGTGGCCTGTGTTCTTAGAGAATATATAAATCCAGAGGTATGAAGAGATCACACACAGTGTACTAGCACTTTTTTAAAAATTATACTTGTTCCATTTATGAGTACAATACTCAGCATTCTATGCTCCTCCTTGCCATGTTAAGCTAGGCCCTCCTTTTATGGCACACAGTACTTGGGAATACAGAGTAAATTTGTATATATTTTATTGTATCAAATATAGTCACTCCCTTAAGTACTGTTGACAAGGATTATACTAAGGGCAAACTAGATTAATGCTTCTTTCTCTGGTTTGTCTGTTACATGATAAGTGCTTGAAAATATAAAATTCTTATATGTGAAAATGCAAAATTCTTGTATGTGTTATTACCCTGAATTATGAGAGATGGGGGAATTAATGACTTAGTCCCATGTTACTTCTGTATCATACAATTTTCTTATCTATAGCATAAGAATATTTTCCTTCCTTATGAAGTTCTCTGAGAACAGAATTTTAGGAATTTTAACTGCTTTCCTTTAGCGTCAAAAGCAGTATCTGAGATACAGAAGACTTTTCATGGATATTGAGAGAGAACAAGTAAAAGAACAAAAAAGAGAAAAGGAACAAAAGAAGAAAGTTGAAAAGTAAGTTCTTTGATCCTCATTCTGAGGCTAAATTGCCAGTTAAATGTTTTTGGAGGCTGTGTCTTGGAAATCATCAGGTGTGGATTCAAGGTGTAGCTCAGTGGTAAGAACATAGGTTTAGCATGTACTAGGTTCTGGGTTCAATTCCCAGCCACCCCTTTGTCAATTCCTCCTCCCCTTTGTCCCCCAACCAAAAAAAAAAAAAAAAGCAAGCAATGAATTTACTCTCTGATACATACTGAAAACAGCCACTTTTGATCTGGGTAGAATATTGAGGAGAGCGAACAGCTATGGTTTTCTTACTTGATATTTTTTATCCACATCATTTTTTTAGAGCAGTTTCAGGTTCAAGCAAAATTGAGCAAAGTGGCTTATTTTTTATTCCCACCAGGAGGTAAACAAGAGTTGCTATTCTTCCATATCCTTGCTAACATTTGGTATTGTCAGCGATTTGTATTTTGACCATTCTAATAGGTCTCTCATTGTTTCTTTAATTTTCATTATCCTCAAAATTATTTGCTGGCTGTATATCATCTTTGGTGATATGTCTGTCTAGGTGTATTGTCCATTTTAAAAATTGGATCATTTTTTTCTTGTTCGTGAGTTTTAAGAGTTTTTGTATGTTATGAATACCAGTTGTCAGATCTTTTGAAAATATTTTCTCAGTCTGTGGCATGTCTTTTCATTCTCTTGACAGTGGCTTTTGTAAAGCAGAAGTTTTGAATTTTATTTTTTTTTATTATTTTTTTTTCCTTTTTCTTTTATTATTCATATGTGCATACAAGGCTTGAATTTTAATCAAGTCTTACCAGTTCTTTTTCATGAATTATGCCTTCAGTGTTGTATCTTAAAAAAATCATTGTCATATCCAAAATCATCTAGATTTTTTTCCCTGCATTATTTTCTAGGAATTTTATACTTTTGTGTTTAGCATTTGGCTTTCTAATCCATTTTGAGCTAATTTTTGTGAGATGTTTAAGGTCTTTGTCTAGAGTAATTCTTTGCATGTAAATTCTTTACTTGTTTTGTTAACACTTATTGAAAAGAGTGTCTTTTATTTTTATTAGCATATTAGTATTGTACTGGGGGTACATTGTGATGTTTATAAAAGTGCTTGCAGTATATCTTAGAGTCATTCCTCCATCATTCTCTTTTATCAACCCCCCTTCCCTCACTTCTTAGAACAGTTTCAACAGGTCTTGTTCCATTTTCATACATGAGTATATGATATTTCCACCATATTTGCCCTCCTTCACCCTTTCCTTATGTCCTCCTTGCTCCAACTGGTACCATCCCTCAGACAGGATCTGTTTTACCTTTCTGTCCTTCATTTTTGAAAAAAGACATTTTTGTTTCTTTAAGACAGCTATACAAGGAATTTTATTATGTCATTTCCATGTATTTATGTATTATATACCAAATTGATTCATCCCCTCCATTTTTCTCTTTTCTACCTTAGTCATCTTTTTATGGTGATTTCAACAGGTTTAAATATTCTGTATTCATTCTTGTGTAGAAATTACATCAGCCATATTCTCCTTTACTTCATTTACCCTCTCCCTCCACAAAATGACCTGGTAGGACTTTGATTAGAATTATGTTGAATCTGTAGATCAACTTGGAAAAAATTTACATGTCAACAATATTTAGCCTTCCTATCCATGATCATGGAATACCTCTCCATTTATTTAGTTTTCCTATTGTTGTTTCATCAGCTTTATACTTTTACTCATATAGCTCTTGTACATATTTTATGAATTTATACCTAAGTTTTTCACTTTTTTTGGGTGCTAATGTAAATGATAGATTTTTTTTAAATTCCAAATTCATCCATTTATTGCTGGCATATTAAGAAAGTGATGGATTTTTATACATTAACCTTGATGTTATTGTTTACTAGTTCTAGGAATTTTTTTTTTTTTTTTTGGTGAATCTTTTGGAATTTCTGCACAGATGATCATGTCATTTGTGAACAAAGACAATTATATTTCCTCCTTTACAGTCTGTACACCTTTTATTTCCTTTTTTTATCTGATTGCATTAGCTAAAACTTCTGATATAATGATGAGAGGAAGTGGTGAGATGGAAAATCCTTGGTTGTTCCTGATCTTAGCAGAAAAGCTTAAGAGTTTCTCACCACAAAAGTTGTAATGAAATCTCATGAATCTAGTGTAAGGATTCATTTCCTCAGATATAATTGACCTAGTATGCATAGGACACTAACTGATAATAAGTATATGAAAATATTTTGAAGTTTGTGAGTTTTATATATATGTATGTGTATATGTATATATTTAGGTAATAATAATTTATTTGTATTTTTACTTATAATACTGTAACTGAAATTGCTATAAAGTTACAGCCAACACCAAACAATGCTAGCATAGTGGTTCAAGTGGCAAAGTGCCTACCTAGCAAGCATGAACCCCAGTACCACAAAAAATACATGAATGAATGAATGAAAAAGAAAAAGGGGTTAAAGTGAGTATTTTAATCCTTCTTCTTAAAAGGCTTAGAAGAAAACTGCAAGTCAAATTAGAAAACCAGAGGCCATAAGGATAAGTGCACTAATCAGCAAACTTTTATTTGCAGTAAACTATTGTAAACAAATGTGCAAAAGAGAAAAATCAACAAAGGCCAAAGTTATTTTTTTGAAAGTTTTCTTTTGCCAGGAACATATGACTTTTACTAATCAATTAAAAAGACCAGAGAAAATGCAATTTACCAATATTAGAAATGGAAAATGAACCCTTACTATAGAATTTATAGATATTAAATGATAACATTGAGGCATGAAGTTTGCACTGAAGCATTTGACAATAGTGATGAAATAGACAAAATAATAAAAAGAAATAGTAGCTAGCAAGCATGCATGAGACCCAATACCCACTAAGGCAAAAAAAAAACAAAAAAAACCCTAAAAACTAAAACAGATATAAGAGGAAATTTTAAAAATCTGATAATCCAATGATTTTTCTATGAGATGTTTAAGAGTTATTTCATATATGTTTTTATTCTCATATACTTTCCTCTGTTTGAGATATATAATAATGCTTTTGTCTAAAAGCCACCTGACACATATGCGGAATCTAGAACAACAACAACAAAAGAATAACATGACAGGGACAGTTTTGGGAGGGGAATCAGTAGGAGGCAGGAGGCAAAATGAGAGGGTGGTAGGGATCAATTATGATTGAAATGCTTTATATGTGTGTATGAAAATAGAATAATGAAGCTTTAAAAATGTATTTAAAAGGTGGAAACGGGATAAGAAAGGGCAATAAAGGAGCTGAATTCAGTCAAAGTACATTATGCATGTATGAATATATTCCAATAAAATAACTTTGTACAATTAATTTACACTAAAAATGTAAATAAAAACCACCTGACAAAAGCTACTGCAAGTGTGTGTGTGGGGGAGGTGTGTGTTGGAAAAAATCTTTACCTACTTGTCTAGCCTTTTGGTAGAATTGTATTTGAACATTTGAAGGACCTACTCTTAGTGTTCTTAAGGATTGTAGTTATATAATCTCTCTGTATAACAAGTTCAGACTCTAAGGATATTGGCTTTCTAGAAGGTCATAATACCTAGGCCAGATTTGTCTTACTATTATCCCAGTCTTTTAGCTATAACTGTGGTCTGATCAGTATCAAAAAATCTTTCAAATGGAAAAATGAGACCTGTTGTAACTATTCCAGGAATGGGGGGAGGGAGGTAAAGGAGAATGATGAAGAGGATGAATTCAAGTATGATATATTTAATATATTGTAAGAACTTTTATAAATGACAAAAAATGTACCCCCAGCACAATAAAAAAAATTAAATAGCCAAAAAAAAATTTTTTTAGTTCCATAGTACCCATATATAAGCATTTTACAGGCTCATCAGGTTTAAGACAAAATGGAAATGACTTAGTTCAGTTCATTTAAATGAAGCCAATATACCCCTGCTGTAGGTATTTTATATCTAACCTCAATCTTCTTATAGCAGGCTCACCACATGGTACAGTGGTAGCAAAACTACTGACCTTCTTTGGAAGCTTTTTTGTTAAGGCTTTTATTTTATTGCCATATCCTATTGAATAATCTTTTTTTTTTCTCTTGAATTTATACTCTTGACCTCAGAAAAATATGACTCACAGATGGTATCAGAAACTTAAAATTGATAATTGGAAAATAATTAAGACTTACTTTTTGCCTTTTCCTTCTTGAGAACACTAAATAAGTTATGTCTTCTTTGCATGGAGGTTATGTGATTTAACTTGAAGACAAAACCCACATTAGTAGCATTCTAAAATAATCATACATATGCTTTGTAAACAGTAATTGATAGCTTGCTTTACCTCACCCAGTTAAAAGAATTATGTGGTTTTATTCATTTGCTTAGCAGCTATTTATTGAACTTCTGTTAATTGGTAGACATGCTAGATTTAGAGGGTGTAAGAAATAAAAGACATCCCAATCTTAAAGGAACCTACTAATAGATTTGACTGACAAGTGGGGAAGCAGATAAATAGACCATTATAATACCTTATATTAAGTGTTACAAGGCAGTACAGTATGTAGTTAAAAACTTGAGGAAATATATGTTCAAGTCCCAGCTCTGCTGCCTATTGACTGTGTGACTCTGAGAAAGTAGCACAGTGATCCCAAGTTTCTTCTTTATAAAATAAGGATAATAATGTTATGTATGTCATAAAGTTGTTGGAGGATTAAATATGTAAATACACTTACCACAGAATCTGGCACATAGTATTTGCTCCATAGATATTAGTTGCTTTTATTATTAAGAAAAAGCACAGTACAATAGTATATGGAAGCACAAAGAATGTGTTTTGAAACCAAAATTTGGGGGCTTGAGGATCAGGAAAGGGAAGAATTCCTGAAGGTTTTTTTGTTTGTTTATTTTTGTTTTCTTGCAGTACTGGAGCCTTGAGCTTGCTAGACAAGTGGTCTACCTGGTCTACTACTTGAGCCACTCCCCCAACTCCTGAGCTTGG